ACAAGATTTTTATTGTTGATCGAGATTGATTGAGATTTTTTGTGTCAAACAAGAATTTTTCATTGATTGCTGTGAACTTTTTTGGAGGTCACGAGTGCCAACCGTCATGCTGTTTCACAATTTCTCAGTCAACAAAATATTTCTCGACCGCTTTCGTCCAGTGTGGCTTTCCAAGCATGATGAAAAATTAAACAACTTGATCCATGAGATTCCTTATGCCTTAAATTCACTACATAATTTTGTTATTAAAGTACCACTTAGTCATGATCAGCTTCGTGGCTATCAATTTATACTGTCAAGTGTAAAGACTACCAATACACTGTCTTCCAGAAAGACACAAATTCCCATTTTTAAAAATGCTGTTTCACAAAGGACTTTTGATTCCTTTTAACTGTATACTACACCTATCCAATCCTTTTGTTAAAATTAACATTATGTCTGGCCTTGGGACGTGAAGTTTGTTGGTAGATAAACTTTTTGTAAGTCAAACATGTTATTTCTTCGTAAGCTGTCGAATCATATGCAAGGTTGGCACAGTGCATGATTCACAAAGAGAAATGAAAAAATTTGCAGAAAACAGCTTAATAATTATTCCTTATTTCTTATTTTTATCTTCAGATTGCTTTTTTAGTTTTGTTCAAGGTGGCTTCTGAGGTGAGGTTTAACTGAGATTTACAGACTCATTTAATATTTTTTTTGTAAACCATTATGTGTCACAGAAGTTCCCTTATCACTTCCTGGAAGAAAGTTTGCCGTTACTTTCAAGTGACATACAGTGGCATATAAAAATTCTTAAAAGTGGAACATTTGGCTCAGAATTCTATTTCCTTTTTGTTAAACCATTATGTGTCACAGAAGTTCCCGCATCACTTCCTGGAAGAAAGTTTGCCGTTACTTTCAAGTGACATACAGTGGCATATAAAAATTCTTAACAGTGGAACATTTGGCTCAGAATTCTTTTTTTGTGAACCATTATGTGTCACAGAAGTTCCCGCATCACTGAAAATACGTTGTAATAATTTATGCATTAGGTTCGGTACATGAAAAGTTCGGCGTCTGAATCAAAGCCGTTCGAAAGTCGCTCCAAAGGCGAAATTTCCGACCGGGCTAGGCGAAAAGAACGGCTAAGCCATTCCAAATTGAAACAGGCGTTCGTAATTGATTCAGACGCCGAACTTTTCATGTACTTAATTCAATGTAGTAGAAGAATGTAGTAGTAGTAGAAGTATTAACAAGACCCCAAATAACAAGAAAAATCTTGTTGCCAGTTTTGTAACCCGCACTGAGGCTTTTCAGGGGGGGTTTTCAGGGGGGCATTGGTAAAGGTCGAACAAGGGCAGTTTGAGACCGCCATCTTGATCCTTCACAATTTTTTCGTCTTTTATTACGGGTACAGGTGTTTGGAAGCATTACATAAAATATCTTCATGATTCAAACGCTGTGAACAGTGAAGCAGCCGTTTAAGGGTTAATATTTAAGTGTGGATGCTGCTTCGAGGCATTTGTGACCTAATTCGGCTATCGGTACAACGCACGTCAGTATGAGTCCTGTTTCACCTGCTACAACTGGGTAGAGTATAGAAGATCATATATTTTAAAATCTCTTCCAGTGAAGTAATATAGACTTTAATTCGAAAGTATGCGCCCTATAAAACGTGGTTTTAGAAGCTTAAAAGGTAGCTCATTTTTTTGAAAGCTGTATCGAGTATTGTTAATCCTGTAAATAAGCTTTAAAAATATTATTCTCTCGCTTACAAAGATCAACCGACCTTTTTCGTTCTATTTAGTAAAGATGCGTAACTTAAGTAGAAACAGTAGCGTTAGGGAATAAAATTGGAAGAAGCTAGTTGACACAATAATTAGATACTGTTATATTGAATGGAGTAACATGATATAAGTAGAAATATATTTTGGCAGTTTGATAATTTTCTTGTAGGTTAATAAATGTTAGGCTATCAACCTTGACGTTGCATGAAACATAATCTAATTACAGATGTTGTAATAAAGCCGAGGTGATTTCTTAAAATCGTTTGAGAAAATTTTGTAGTAAAACAATTTGCCTCTTTTTTACGTACGAATTGTCAAAGGGCCACAGACCAACATCTTCACATGCAAATTGTGTGCATGAGTTATTTTTATAATTCTGTTTACTAGATTACTGTGTGATAACTCGAATTCCCTCACGTACGAACCACGAAAGGGGGCAAAGTCCAACACTTTCAGGTGCCCGCTGTGTGACTGTACATCTCATGCAGATTGGCTTTTCACAATAAGAATAATAACTTGGACGTATGAAGACCTGTTTCGTTTAGTAACCAATGCCTTAAAAAAGGCTTTTGTCTTTTAAGAAGCAATAGCTTTTAAAACATGACGAAATAAGTTGTCGGAGTTAAAGACTGTTTCACAAATGTTAATAAATGTTAGGTTATCAACCTTGACGTTGCATGAAACATAATTTAATTGCAGATGTTATAATGAAGCCGAGGTGATTTCTTAAAATCGTTTGAGAAAATTTTGTAGTAAAGAATTTGCCTTTTTTTAACGTACGAATTGTAAAAAGGCGAAAGACCAACATCTTCACGTGCAAATTGTGTGCGTGAGTTATTTTTATAATTCTGTTTACTAGTTTACTATGTGATAACTCGAATTCCCTCACATACGAACGACGAAAGGGGGCAAAGTCCAACACTTTCACGTGCCAGCTGTGTGACTGTACATCTCATGCAGATTGGCTTTTCACAATGATAAATAGTAACTTGGACGTAAGAAGACCTGTTTGGTTTTGTAACCAATGCCTTTAAAAAGGCTCTTGTCTTTTGAGAAGCAATAGCTTTTAAAACATGAAGAAATAAGTTGTCGGAGTTAGAGACTGTTTCACTGAGTAGAATCGCACGTGAAAACCTCGTGAATTATGATGATGCAACCATCTACCACCATGATAAAAATCCTGGTATTTCGTAACTATTCAGTATTCGGGGAGTCACATTTTGGCTTAAGAAACTCCGAGGAAACCTTAGAGTTTTCCTTCTAATCAACGTTTGGTGAGTAGAAATTTATTTCACTTTATTTGTTGAACTTGCACCAGATGTAACAGGGAAAGACAGAGGAAAGTGAATATATAGCTTTAGGATCGACTCAGCTGAGCGTTTCGCGTTTGCATTTATGTACTGCAATACGCAATTTCGCACAAAAACCCAATCTACATTTAGATGAAAGAGGTAGATTCATCACTCTTGGTAAGGTTACACCGAAGCATTAAAGTTACACTGACGCATTCAAAATAGCTCATGCACGTTTAACGTGCCTATGTTATATAAATAGCATTGCACTATATCACAATTAGAATTCTGCTGCATAAGAGCCCGGGGCGAGAGACGAATACATTTTTGCGTAGCCGAGAAAACAAAAGCGTAAAATATGATAGAGTTAGAAGAACCGGATGGCAAATAACAACAATAAAGATATCGAAAAAAACCCCTAATTTTGGTAAAGTTTTCCAGTTTGATCCAACCTTGATAGCTCGTTATATTTCGTATTATTATTATTATCATCATTAGCATATTCATCATCATCATCATTATTATTATTTTGGTGAATAACAAAAACAAATACCTAATTTCATACAACGTGGTGATAGTCTATTGTTCTCTTTTCAGGAGATGAAACTAGTTCTATATAAACCCGCAGAAAAAATGCCGCCGATTGCGTTGTTCCTGTGTTTTGCAGTCCTGACAGTTCATAGTGAGAATTCCGATATTCCTAGTACTTTGCATAAAATATATCTAAATGTACTACTGTAACAATGTTACGAGTTCACAACAAGATTTAAAATTGGATCTAGTTAAGTTTTGGTTTACAACTGGCGTTACAAGGCGATCATGTTGGGTGACGGGTTGTTGACAAGAAGGGGACTTTGCATAAAAAAAAAATAGTTTAGTTACTAACCGGGGAACCTCTGTGTTTTTGTGCCAACCAACGTGGCAGCCGTGACGTTAGCTGCAAACCATAAATATCGTCTTGAGTCAGTGAAGCTTGGTGTTACTAATATTCCAACGTTCCTGCACGACCTACAATGAAGTTATACCATCCTAAGTGTCATTTCAAAGTAATACCATTATAACAAGACCATTCATTTGTCTTCTCTAACCAGCCACGACATCAGCCACATCATCATCAACTGTTTGCCCTCAGAAGACAACATCAGGCAAATGTTGCAGTATTCCATTCAAATACAGGGGAGTGACCTTCAATTCTTGCACTTCTGCTGATTATCACAGACCCTGGTGCTCCTTGGATCCTGTGTATAAGGGGAGATGGGGCAACTGCAGTAAGTTTAATTTAACTCAACTAAAGCATGACTTTAGTGTGTATTTCAAAGTTACATTATCATTATATCAAAAGAATTCTGTGTTTTGTTTCATAGCGTTACCAGTCACCAGAACGTCACCAACTGTTTGCCCTCAGAAGACAAGATCAGGCAAATGTTGCAGTATTCCATTCAAATACAGGGGAGTGACCTTCAATTCTTGCACTTCTGCTGATTATCACAGACCCTGGTGCTCCTTGGATCCTGTGTATGAGGGGAGATGGGGCAACTGCAGTAAGTTTAATTTGACTCAACTAAAGCTTGACTGTAGTGTGTATTTGAAAGTTACATTATCATTAGATCAAAAGAATTTTGTGTTTTGTTTCATAGCGTTACCAGTCACCAGAACGTCACAAAATGTTTGCCCTCAACAGACAACATCAGGCAAATGTTGCAATATTCCATTCAAATACAGGGGAGTGACCTTCAATTCTTGCACTTCTGCTGATTATCACAGACCCTGGTGCTCCTTGGATCCTGTGTATGAGGGGAGATGGGGCAACTGCAGTAAGTTTAATTTAACTCAACTAAAGCATGACTGTAGTGTGTATTTCAAAGTTACATTATCATTATATCAAAAGAATTTTGTGTTTTGTTTCATAGCGTTACCAGTCACCAGAACGTCACCAACTGTTTGCCCTCAGAAGACAACATCAGGCAAATGTTGCAGTATTCCATTCAAATACAGGGGAGTGACCTTCAATTCTTGCACTTCTGCTGATTATCACAGACCCTGGTGCTCCTTGGATCCTGTGTATAAGAGGAGATGGGGCAACTGCAGTAAGTTTAATTTGACTCCGGTAAAGCATGACTTTAGTGTGTATTTCAAAGTTACATTATCATTATATCAAAAGAATTTTGTGTTTTGTTTTATAGCGTTACCAGTCACCAGAACGTCACCAACTGTTTGCCCTCAGAAGACAAGATCAGGCAAATGTTGCAGTATTCCATTCAAATACAGGGGAGTGACCTTCAATTCTTGCACTTCTGCTGATTATCACAGACCCTGGTGCTCCTTGGATCCTGTGTATAAGGGGAGATGGGGCAACTGCAGTAAGTTTAATTTGACTCCGGTAAAGCATGACTTTAGTGTGTATTTGAAAGTTACATTATCATTATATCAAAAGAATTCTGTGTTTTGTTTCATAGCGTTACCAGTCACCAGAACGTCACAAAATGTTTGCCCTCAACAGACAACATCAGGCAAATGTTGCAATATTCCATTCAAATACAGGGGAGTGACCTTCAATTCTTGCACTTCTGCTGATTATCACAGACCCTGGTGCTCCTTGGATCCTGTGTATGAGGGGAGATGGGGCAACTGCAGTAAGTTTAATTTAACTCAACTAAAGCATGACTGTAGTGTGTATTTGAAAGTTACATTATCATTATATCAAAAGAATTTTGTGTTTTGTTTCATAGCGTTACCAGTCACCAGAACGTCACAAAATGTTTGCCCTCAACAGACAACATCAGGCAAATGTTGCAATATTCCATTCAAATACAGGGGAGTGACCTTCAATTCTTGCACTTCTGCTGATTATCACAGACCCTGGTGCTCCTTGGATCCTGTGTATAAGGGGAGATGGGGCAACTGCAGTAAGTTTAATTTAACTCAACTAAAGCATGACTGTAGTGTGTATTTGAAAGTTACATTATCATTATATCAAAAGAATTCTGTGTTTTGTTTCATAGCGTTACCAGTCACCAGAACGTCACCAACTGTTTGCCCTCAGAAGACAAGATCAGGCAAATGTTGCAGTATGCCATTCAAATACAGGGGAGTGACCTTCAATTCTTGCACTTCTGCTGATTATCACAGACCCTGGTGCTCCTTGGATCCTGTGTATAAGAGGAGATGGGGCAACTGCAGTAAGTTTAATTTGACTCCGGTAAAGCATGACTTTAGTGTGTATTTCAAAGTTACATTATCATTATATCAAAAGAATTTTGTGTTTTGTTTTATAGCGTTACCAGTCACCAGAACGTCACCAACTGTTTGCCCTCAGAAGACAAGATCAGGCAAATGTTGCAGTATTCCATTCAAATACAGGGGAGTGACCTTCAATTCTTGCACTTCTGCTGATTATCACAGACCCTGGTGCTCCTTGGATCCTGTGTATAAGGGGGGCAGATGGGGCAACTGCAGTAAGTTTAATTTGACTCATAGCGTTACCAGTAAAACGTCACAAAATGTTTGCAACAGACTTTGCAGTGTGTATTTGAAAGTTACATTGTCATTATATCAAAAAGAATTCTGTGTTTTGTTTTGTTTCATAGCGTTACCAGTCACCAGAACGTCACAAAATGTTTGCCCTCAACAGACAACATCAGGCAAATGTTGCAATATTCCATTCAAATACAGGGGAGTGACCTTCAATTCTTGCACTTCTGCTGATTATCACAGACCCTGGTGCTCCTTGGATCCTGTGTATAAGGGGAGATGGGGCAACTGCAGTAAGTTTAATTTGACTCAACTAAAGCTTGACTTTAGTGTGTATTTCAAAGTTACATTATCATTAGATCAAAAGAATTCTGTGTTTTGTTTCATAGCGTTACCAGTCACCAGAACGTCACCAACTGTTTGCCCTCAGAAGACAAGATCAGGCAAATGTTGCAGTATTCCATTCAAATACAGGGGAGTGACCTTCAATTCTTGCTTTTCTGCTGATTATCACAGACCCTGGTGCTCCTTGGATCCTGTGTATAAGGGGAGATGGGGCAACTGCAGTAAGTTTAATTTGACTCCGGTAAAGCATGACTTTAGTCTGTATTTGAAAGTTACATTGTTATTATATCAAAAGAATTCTGTGTTTTGTTTCATAGCGTTACCAGTCACCAGAACGTCACAAAATGTTTGCCCTCAACAGACAACATCAGGCAAATGTTGCAATATTCCATTCAAATACAGAGGAGTGACCTTCAATTCTTGCACTTCTGCTGATTATCACAGACCCTGGTGCTCCTTGGATCCTGTGTATAAGGGGAGATGGGGCAACTGCAGTAAGTTTAATTTGACTCAACTAAAGCATGACTTTAGTGTGTATTTCAAAGTTACATTATCATTAGATCAAAAGAATTCTGTGTTTTGTTTCATAGCTTTACCAGTCACCAGAACGTCACCAACTGTTTGCCCTCAACAGACAACATCAGGCAAATGTTGCAATATTCCATTCAAATACAGGGGAGTGACCTTCAATTCTTGCACTTCTGGTGATTATCACAGACCCTGGTGCTCCTTGGATCCTGTGTATAAGGGTAGATGGGACAACTGCAGTAAGTTTAACTTGACTCCGCTAAAGCATGACTTTAGTGTGTATTTCAAAGTTACATTATCATTATATTAAAAGCATTCTGTGTTTTGTTTCATAGCGTTGCCAGTCACCAAAACGTCACCAACTGTTTGCCCTCAACAGACAACATCAGGCAAATGTTGCAGTGTTCCATTTAAATACAAGGCAGTGACCTACAATTCTTGCACTAATGCTGATCACAACAGACCCTGGTGCTCATTGGATTCTGTGTATAAGGGAAGATGGGGCTACTGCCGTGAGTATAAATTGACTTAGCTAAAGCATCTTTTAATGATATTATCAGTACGTAAAGACCGCTTTTCTCTTTGTTAGTGTTACCAACCACCCCATCAGTTTGCTTTCCAAAGACAACATCAGGTCAATGTTGCAGTGTTCCATTTAAATACAAGCAAGTGACCTTCAACTCTTGCACTACTGCTGATTACAACAGACCTTGGTGCTCCTTGGATCCTGTGTACAAAGGACGTTGGGGAATCTGCCGTGAGTTTTAGACTGGCACTATTAAGGCATTCTTGTTGTCTATTCATTAATGTTCTGTTATCATTATATATCAAGACCTTGAAATCAATCATTAATTAAGTAGAATTAACATTGTGAACGGTTTGAACCCAAGAGTCATTTCATAAAGTAGGTGGAATAAGATCGTCCACGTCAGTGTAGTCCTAAATAGGACTGTTGACTGACGTTTCGACAACCTGTGCGGTAGTCATCTTCAGAGTCAAAGTGAGTTGTATCACGTCCTGACTGATGGTATTAAACTCAGGTTAATGACCCAAAGTCCAGTTGTTTCTTCAGTATCCTGCTTGCTGGCACGCTTTGGAGGGGTCTTACTTATCGGTAGTTGAAACAAAATGCAATTAATATCGTATCACAACTTTTTTTTCGTAGGTGGTTGACTTTGGTGGCATTTAAATTACTAACAAAACCAGTGAGTATAAACGCTCTTTTAGCATTTGCTTTAGAACTGGTAAATTTGAATTATAAAGTAACTCCAGTACTGTTTGAAAATCCTTGACCTGATGTTTAGTTGTTCTTCATCTTCATCTACATCTAGACCCCGGAATTTAATTTCTCTCTTTAGGCATGTACCATTCCTACGCTCTAACCCATCTTGTCTAACTCTACTCATGAAGCACGTGGTTTCTCTTCAGTACTCATCTACTGGAGAAGCAGATTTTTCTCACTTTCTTTATCTGTTGATTCCAAATAAATATTTGGTTAATTCAGTTTCAATACATGTAAATAACGCTGGACCCGATTAAAAAGCTCCGAAAGTAAAACAAATCCAGCTGAAGTAATTATCGAAAGTGAACTATCACCACTATAAACTTACTGCATTTTCCTCACTTGCTTTAGATTCTGCCTGAAGTTTCACATCTGAATGATTGGTTAATTTGAACACACTACCACAAGTATTTTTGTAGTTGTTCAGAATCATGTGTCGTCTTATGCTCCAGCGTAATTTCGCTTGTTCTCACTACCTATCTACTTCTTTATCCGCTCGCGATGGTGAATACTACAAATTTGGCTACCATTATTCGTGTTTGCATCTGAAAGCGACTGGCACGACGACAGAACCTGGCAGAGCTTTTATTTTACCTCCGAGCTTCTCGGAAGTTCCTAAAAGAAGAACGAACAGAGCGTTTATGAATTGCCGAGTTCCCTACGACGTGTCAGGAATGTGTTCATTCCAACTAAAGAAGCTCTCTGGTGATGTTCATCCAAACCCTGGCCCATCTCGGACGGGCATAAAGTTCCCTTGTGGTGAATGTCAGAGGTCTGTCCGAAGCAATCAAGACGCCATTTTGTGCGCTGCCTGCGATCAGTGGTTTCACGCAAGATGCATTGGCATAGGAAAGCAAGTTTTTAAATACTACTTGGAAAACCATCACCTTGACTGGGAATGTGCTTTTAGCTCCCTGCCCAAGTTCAGTGATTCTTTCTTCGACCAAACTGGGAATGAGTCGTTAATAGAGTGGGACAGCATTCAAAATGAGTCCAGCACTAATGTAGTAGCTTCGCTGGATAAAGCGAATCCTAGGGATGATGCAGAGAATTATCTCCAACAAGCTGCCCTACATCTGAACTCCTCAACAAAGGATTTAAACATTGCTCATCTGAACGTTTGCAGTATCCGCAACAAGATCGACGAGTTAAGAGTACTACAGTCCATTTGCGCTTTTGATATTATTGCAATTACAGAAAACGCATCTGGATGGCTCAATTCCTGATAACTTTTTGTACATAGATGGGATGAAGCTCTTTCGCCAAGACAGAACTAAATGCAAGGGAGGTAGTTGTATCATGTACTGTGCTGGATATTTGCAGACGACCCATCGTAGAGATTTGGCCTCTACGGAACTGGAGGAAATTTGGGTTCAGATTAAATTTCCTACTACTTCTGCATTATTTTCAGTTATTTACAGATCGGAACTTGAATGCCCTAACTTTTTTGAGGACATATATGGTGTTTTCGAAAAGGCGTGGATGAAGTCTGACACTATCATCCTACTTGGCGACTTTAACTGCGATCTTCAAGGTATTGAGAGCAAAATAGGATCTGAAACTCAACCTAAAACTAGAAGACTGTTGACTTTGTTTCAGCTTTTCGGTATGCAAAACATTGTCAATATGCCCACCAGGATCACACCTGGTTCAAGCACGTTAATTGATTTGATAGTAAAAACAAAGCCTGACCTAATCAACCGTAAAGGTGTTCTACCTTTGGGAATTCTGATCATTGCCTAATACATGCAACTCTTAATCTCAAGCACAAACGGCCGCCGCCAAAAGTGATAAATGTAAGAAACTATAAACAATTTCAGGTTGATCAGTTTCGGGCTTATATTACAGCTGCGCCTTTTCACGTCGCTCGGGTTTTTGAGGATAAGGATGATGTTCTCTGGGCATGGAATAAGTTATTCAAAGTTATTTGTGACTTCCATGCACCTACAAAGCGCGTCAAGATCCGGAGTCAATCTTCTCCTTGGATAAATAATGACATCAGACGAAAGATGAACTTAAGGTATAAGCTGTTTAAGAGAGCTGTTAGCACTAAAGATCAAGAAATCTATGCAAGATACAAGAAAGTTAGAAATGAGATCACATCCGAGATAAGAAACGCGAGGGCGCAGTTCTTCAAGGAAAAGGTAGCTGAAGTTAAATCTGTAGCGGCTTACTGGAATTTAATTGCAGAAGCGACAAATCCTGTTAGAAGAAACAGAATGGGACCTTTAAAGAGGGAGGATGGAAGCCTTGCCGTCAACGACGTAGAAAAGGCTAACCTAATAAATGATTTCTTTGCCAATATCGGCACTAGATTTGGACGAGCCAATAGAAATTTTCCGCACCAGAGCGATTGCATCGGTTGTTCAGTGCCCTCTGTGACTGATATCACCATCTGCGAAGACTTGGTCCGACGTAAATTAAAAGCCATTAAGCCAAATAAATCTGCGGGTCCTGATGACATTGCACCTAAATTATTAAAACTAGCTGAAACTGCCATCGTCTCTCCCTTGACTGGTCTATTCTCATTCTGTGCTCACCATGGAGAAACCTTTACTGATTGGAAGAAAGCTCGTCTGATCCCGGTGTATAAAAAGGATGATGAAGCTGACACAAATAACTATAGACCAATATCGCTTCTTAGTGTTCCAAGCAAAATAATGGAATCTTGTGTATCAGAATCTGTCGTTCGACATGTTTTCCAAAATAACCTGGTTACAGACAAACACTGGGCTTACCGTGAGGGCCATTCTACTGAACTATTGCTTGTACACCTGTCAGAAATCTGGAGAACAGCTATTGATGCCGATAAAGTGGTTGCTGTGGCGTTTGTTGACTTCAAAAAAGCTTTTGACTGTGTATCTCATGCTATCCTACTGCATAAGCTGAATTTTCAATTTGGAGTTCAAGGTTGTCTTCTATCATGGCTGACAGACTACCTAACTGATCGAACTCAATTCTCGGTAGTAAACGGCCAGCACTCAATTGTGCTAAATGTCACTTGCGGGATTCCCCAAGGATCAGCACTTGGCCCGACGTTGTTTGCCTTGTACACCAATGACCTACCAAGTGCTGTTACCTCTGGCTCTGTCTTTATGTAAGCAGATAACACCACCGTTTATTGCATCGGGGACACTGTTGATAACACTGTCACTTCTTTAAATAAAGCTTTATCGGAATTGAACAGTTGGTGCCTAGAGAACTCTTTAACCCCTCACTCGGCAAAGTGCGAAGCTATGCTGTTGATGAGAAAACCGCACATCGGGCCGCTAAATTCTGTGACTATTGGAGAGGATCGGATCGAGTGGGTGAAACACTCTCGTCTTTTGGGCGTTACTATCGATGAGAGGCTTTCCTGGTCACGTCACCTTACAGATGTAAAAAAGATTTTCGTAAACAAACCGAACCTCCTGGAAAGGAGTTCGCTCTTGAGCAGAAACGCCCTATTGGACTTGTACTTCAAGATAATATTACCATCAGTTCTATAAGGACTAGTCGTTTGGGGCGGCTGCCCTAATGCAGAGCTTCTACATTCTCTGGAAGTACTTCACCGTAGGGCAGCCAGAATTATATACAACTTGCCCCGAGATATGCCTACCGAGGAAGTTTACCGACATTCGAACTGGAATACTTTAACCCTCTCTTATAAACTTCGATTAATTAAACTATTCCATAGCGTGTTTATAGGTGAAGCACCTACGGCTCTTTCATACTTGACAAATAAACCCTGCACTGCATACAACTTCAGAAGGAGTAATAACATAATCGTCCCGCGTTTTAACTCGCAGTTTCTTAAAAACTCTATTAGCTATAGAGGCGCTATTCTTTGGAACGCTGTCTCGAGTCATTTTACAGACCAGTTTACTGTTTTTTATCGCAAAGTGAGGAAGGACTCTTATTTTAAGGAACTTGATTTTAGCGCACAGTCGGTCCAGTGGCTACCCAGGCACTACCAAGATTTTAAATGCTTTTAACTATTTTTTTGTTTTAAATGCTGTAGTCAATTTACTTAGAGGTAACTAATGTAAATTCATTTTAATCTTGTATATATTTTTTTAAATTTATTTAAATTTGTTTCTTTCTTTACTTTTTGGTTAGAATCTTGCTGTATATTTTTAGAGTTTTAATTGTAATTGTATTTTGTAAGTGATTTTATTCTTATTTTTATACAGTTTTATCCATTTGTAATCATTTTTACACGACCCCACAAGCTTTGAGCCTTAAACCTTATCGTGTTTAAATAAAGGATATGTATGTATGTATGTATGTATGTTTCACGTGTTGTTCCGAAAAACCATAAATGCTGTTTAGAAATCCACGGTTAATTTCCTTAGGAAAAGCGTTAAGACCACAGATATTACTATTTTTAAAAAGGATAAACACCTAGTGTAGACAACCATGGCTGAAAAGGTCTGAATTTAATTTTTTGGTTCGATTTTTTGATTTTCTGAAAACTGCGTAATTTCACGTTTGAATCCTGTTCAGTGAAATTTGAATTTTTAGGTCGAGACGGTTTTTGATTGCTTGCAGCAATTAAAAAGAATATTTTTAAAAACTAATCCAATTTCATTTTATAAAACACCTTAGCTTGCTGAACTAAAAAAAAACAGAGTGAAGTCTATTATTGACGGTGGCCGCCATTTTTCCGATTTTAATTTCTTTGATTGTTACTGACATTCACTCTTAATTGTTTATTTATTATTATTTTTTTTACCTTCACAGGTTCGCAACCTGGTGGTCCACATTTTTCAGAAGTATATACTGGAACAGGACTTTACAATAAGGGATCAATTTATTTTTGCTTTCATATGGTGTTGGGGACTAAGAAAGCGCTCGAAGCGTTATTTTCAAGTAACAGCTGTTAACATTAAACGTTTGCCTATTAACGTAATCAACTAGTATCACAGTTTAGTATCAATAAAGATGCGAATTAGATTAGCCACCAGCCTTCTATTGTCTTGTTGAAACTAAATAGTTCAAAGAACGCCATACTTTACCCAAGAAGCCCCGTCCCAAAACAGAATGAGAGTTTCCCACGTTATCAAACTCTCCACGTCATCAATTACATAGTGCTAGGCGGAATATAATGTCTTGATACGATAAAGAAAAGCATATCATCACAGCAAAGTGTCATTAAACATTTTTAACACTTTCAAATTAAGCTGTTAAGGCCAAAATTAAGTTAAGGGTTGATTTTATCAGTCATTCTATTTGTGACAACTGAAGGTGTAAATAGTCAGATGTGGCGTCACATTTCACATCAGACATTCGTGTTCCAAATGCTCTGTTACTATTCCAGTTCCGTGTGGCCAAGACGAGTTTCTCTATTGTTTTTGACCTGAATAACTTGGGGTGCATAGGGGATATCACGAACGACCTCAATACGGACCACCCAACCAAGCGAGGGATCCTTCACATGGACAACCATAGCCTCCTCATCATATTGGACTGTGGCTTGAGGCATGCTATCGGAAATTAACTTTAAAAAAAAGACAAGAAATGTCTTCTATGAGTGAAGAGCACTATTTATTATGGTATTCATATTTTACGATTCTCGTTTTTAACATAACAAGTGAGAATTAGTACGGTGAGTAGTTTTATTTCAGTTACATTTAACACCCAGTAAATTAACTTTCCCTTACATACAAAAAGGTATGGCATCACAAAATAATAATTATAGCGAGAAATCATCTTACATTTTACGAGTGGATTTATGTTGCAGAAAAGTCTTCCTGGCCCCTCTTTCTGAATTTCCACACAAGGAAAATTCATTTTATATGAGAAAAGATAATTCTTTGCAGCGTATAAGTTAAGAAAAAAGTAATTAAAATTACGTGATTTCCAAGAAAAAATCACATGGATTTACACGGAACTCCAACTTTTGTTTATTTGCAAAAACTTCGGAAACCATTCAGTGAAGTTTGAAATTTTCTTGAAGAATTATTTATATGGAAAGTCATCTTTTCATCACACTTGTCTTTGGTTCACTTGTATCACGATGGTGGCTTAAGGGTCATTTACTTACCTTTTAAAATATCATCATCATCATCATTATCTTTAAACATTATTATTATTATTATTATTATCATTATTAACCCAAACGTTGTTTTTCCATTGCTCCTCACGCATCATCGTCATCATCATCATCATCATCATCATCATCATCATCATCATTATCATCATCATCATTATCATTAAAGATTATTATTATTATGTCGCAGTATGAAACTTTGGAATGCTGTCCACATTATGAGTAGTATAGGGCGCATAGCGTAACCTACACCACTTGAGAAGCTATACTTAGAAGTAAAAAAAGGTCGATACGAAACCTAATACGATCCTAAAATACATGATGATATGAATCTCTCTACTTAAAAAGCCAATTTAGAATATTATTAAACTCTGGTACTCTGTAAAACCTACGCTAAGACATGATGATATGATTATCTCTAATAGAGGCCTATTTAGAAAATTATTCAGTTTTTATACTCTCATTATCTCTTACATACCTAAACGAGGCCATCGTAATGTGATTATCTCTACTAAAAGCTTATTTATAATAATATCAAACTCTAATGTTCTAAAAAATCTAAGTAAAAACATCAGCAAGCTTGTGTTTCTAGATTTCTAGAGAAAAAAAAAACAACAACCTAAAAACTGGAGTCCTTAGCGCCCTAACTAAGTATCTATCTTAAATGTTCTGGCAATGTTTAAAGTGTTTGAGATGACCGACTTCTGCATCCGCTCAAGTACGCTCCGTGCTCTCGCTCCAAGTAGCTTCCTCACCGACTTCTCTAGGTGTTTAGAGTAACCACCCAGTACGTCAATTATTACGTTCAACCCTGTAACCATTGATACAATTTCTGATACAATTTCAGTGGCGATTTGATTTTTGTGATCTTGTACTTGTGTTCGACTGATCGCAGGCCTCTGCCCCCTTTCTCCCTCGGTAGATATAACAAAGAAGTTAGGCTAGCTGGGTGCTTGCCACCGTTCTCAACTATGATCTTCCGAGCTGCTCTGTCCACATCTCTTAACTCTGATAGAGGCCAATGCTGTGTCCACATTAAGTACCGCAGGACCAGGAGTGCATACTGATTAGTTGCCTGCACACGGTTACAATCAGACAGGGGGCTGGACCATGTAATAGATATCCTGCGTAGATACTCTTTTTTTAATAGCCGCACACGCTAGGGCCAGCCGTTCATCCTGTCGAACGTTCTCTAGCACCCCCAGGAATTTGTAGTGTTTTCCTTCCCCAAGAGCCGTGATGGTAGTTGTCTCGTCCATCCTCATATCAGACTCGTCTAGCACTTGGGCTCCCCTCTTCACGTGTACCACTGAGCACTTTTTCTGATTCCAGTGGAGGCAGATGTCCTGCATCGCTCCTCTAGTCTCTTTCAGCACTCGGTTCAGCTTGCTCTCGGAGGCAGCAAAAACCTTCAGGTCGTCGATATACAGGAGATCGGTGACTTCGACTCCTATAGGGTTGGATAACCCGTATCCCTCTGTTGCCCGCAGGCGCCACGCTACAGGGTTCAGGAACAGTGTAGGACACAAAGCGTCCCCCTGGGGTAGTCCCTTTATGAACCATACATTTTTCTAGAAGTCTCTCGCCCTTGCCTTGTTGTAGCTACTACTTTAGTATTCCAGCTCGCACACAACTTGCGTACAACCTCACCCAGCCAGACGGGAAGCCTGTGTACGTCAGTCATTGCGCATAACCAATCATGGTCGACGGAGTCGTAGGCTTTGCGCACGTCAATCCATGCCATACTTAAATTCCGTTTGCCTCTGTGACAATCCAGCATTACTGCTCTATCGATTAGCAAGTTATCCATCGTACCGAAACACCCTGATTTCGCTCCTTTTGCTGGCCTTCCATCAGGCCATAATGTTCAAGGTGTTGGTCCATGGTTGCCAGGAGGCAAGATGTAAGCCACTTATACATGTTATTCAGACAAGTAATAGGTCTTTGATTTTCACCGAGGAACTCGCCTTCTTTCGGAATGAGGGAGGTTTTCCCTTCAGAAAACCACTAGGGGTAATCTTCGTCGCTCTTAGAAACTTCTTTGAAGCTCTCGACCACACCCTCGTGCAGGGCGCTAGCACGTTTCCACCAAAAGTTAGTGATTTTATCAGGCCCTGGCGCACTCCAGTTGCGCTTCTTGGACAGGACTTTGACCGCTTCCGCCCATTCGTCACCTGACACAACCTCCCTACTTGCCGCCATGATTATTATTATTATTAATATTATTATTATTATTATTATTATTATTATTCATGATCCAAACATTGGTTGTCTATCGCCCCTCACGCATCTGCTTTTCATCTCCCATTTCAGCTCGAATGTTTTGTCACACAGCTAAGTAGGATATCGCTCACTTATCAGCTACGGGAAGATCTTGTTTCATGATCGAATGACATATCAAGATCCACCGAGTAAAAAATAGTAAAGATAAGGACAGTGAATTAAATGGTTTGTTTACTTCTTGCAGAAAGAATTCCTCGACAAATCATATCTACAATAGAAGGGAATCCACTTTCCTTCCCCATTGTGAGTCATGATAGCACAATGTTTGCGGCTGTAGCGTGTCGGCTTTTCACTGCCCCAGTTGCTGTAGTCAAATTCGCTTCCATCGAACCACTTGTACTCCAAATTGTACTTGTCATCCCTCAGGCTCATCCAGCTAGCTTCGCTGTCGTGAATGGAATTGATAGGTCTATCAATAAGGAGCTATGTTTTTTGGTTACAGAAAATGCCACAAGGGAGACACACGAGCTCGCTAACTCGTCCCCAATGAATTTTCCAATATGGCGGCTGAAAAAAAGAAAAGACTCTGGGGAAGAGGTTGACAACCTCGCGGAAATGGGTTTAAGCATTGCGCGCGTGTTTCTTTTCACATGCTTTGCCCCCAAATTCCCTCAAATGCCGTAAAATTCCGAAAATAATCCTCCAAATGGGCCTCTTCCGAGTTCCCTTGTGCCTCTTTATCAAAACGAGGTTAAGTGCTCAGCCTTTGATATGGAAATGATTTTTCATTCCCCTGCAAATGAAACTCATTTTTACAAGAAAGGTTGTGCACTTGGCCTCATTTTGAAAGTGAGGGTTCAGTTTTGGAACTTGCAAGTGGCCTATCAAAGCTCCCGGGGGCTTGTACTTGGAAATTGCACTCAGCCTCAAATACAGAAAGGATTCAGTTGCTCCCGCCCCAATCTCCTCGCGGTTTTTCTGCCCTCGCCCGCCTTTATTACTTAGCAACCAAAACTGCCATGCTACGCAGGCTAAAAGGAACAAAGCAAAAACGGTACAGTAACACATAATTTTTTATTTGCCAAAAAACTGGTTGTGCCGATCAATTGCAGCCAAAAAGTGTCACACTAAATCGCTGTTTGCGTAGTTCACTCTTCACTCTTGGCTTGGATTTCTCGTTCCATATAAAGTACTTGCATGGCTGAGTTTTAGTAAGATCTACGCCCTCACAGCGAGTTTTGGTAAAAACCTTTGGCAAATTACTGACATCAATTTCCTTCCAACTATAACTTAGCCCAATAGATTTTGAGATGCAAATTTCCCTTCAAGTATAAGCCTATATAACAGATTTTGAAAGGCAAATTTTCCTCCGTATGTAAGCCCCTCCAAAAAAGCGTTTGAAAAATATAAGCCCCGGGGCTTATTTTTGGAATGTTACGGTATCTCCAGTGACAAAAACTGAATAAGCTCACTTTTTCGTACTCTAAGTTATTCGAAGGCTGGCTTCCTCTTGTTCTGTGTGAAATGTGTACGAAGCATAGGAATTCTCGTTAAAAATAACCCTAAATTTACACTCTAATCTGTCTCCATGCGGCAAGTTGATGACATCATTACACCATTCTTACGCCATTATTTCTAAGCGAAACGTGCACGCGCTTTGGCCGTTGACGTGAAGAAGTTGTTAGCTACTTCGGAAAACTTTTTTCTTTATTTTTGAAGACAAATTTCTTATTTAAATGTGATACTCTTGCAGTCTTTTAACCACTAATTAAAAGGCTTGATTGAAGTTAGGTTTCCGATAAAAAGTCTAAGTTGAAACCACAGAGGCTCGAAAGACGTATTGATCTTAGCCGGATTGATCTGACAACTAATCCGAAATGACTACAGACTGGTGTAGCTTGATAACAGACGGTGAATTAAGCGGCAACGGCTGCTTAAAAAGTAAGTGAAATTTAAGATCTTTTATAAACTCTTCAGCTGCGTGTTATAGGAGGGGAAACGAGTTGTGTCGTGGCTCTATTACCTCCGATTAAGTTCAATAAATTACGGTTAAATTAAAGTTTAGGTAACGATATGCACGTGTTTTAAGTATACTCTCTTCTCAAATGGGCCAGGTTTATGGCAATGTCTGCTACATACAAATCCGGAGGATACTGTCTCAGTGGAAGACCAAAACTCTCTCTACTAAACGACTCAAAAGGCTTGCCCTCCATTCATT